GAGCTCTGTAAATGAAGCTTATGAAGCTAGAGCTCTGTAAATGAAGCTTTTGAAGCTGATTGACATGAGTGATGCTCATAAATATTTATGTTGATTGACATGAGTGATGATCATGGATGTTGACATGAGTGACGCTCATGAATGTTTATGTATGATTTGGATGAGTGATACTCATGGATGTTTATGTATGATTGACATGAGTAATGCTCATGAATGTTTATGTATGATTTTATGTATGATTGACATGAATAATGCTCCTGAATGTTTATGTATGATTGACATGAGAAATGCTCATGTATGATGTGAAGTACTAGGCGTACTTTTGATCACCTGGTTGGTGGCATGAAGGAGAGTACGGGTTGTACATTTCATCACCTGGTTGGTGGCATGAATGGCTAGTTGCCAAATGATATTAGAGTACGGGTTGTACATTTCATCACCTGGTTGGTGGTAATAGCGGCGGGTTGCTGAATAATTTTTTGTAGTGCTGGGCGTACTTTTGATCACCTGGTTGGTGATAATAGAGGGCCTTGCTTTTTTGAGCATACGGGCCTTCGCTCACCACATAGTATTCCAGCCATTTATTTTGGGCTTTGTCGTTTTTTTTTTTCTAATTACCCTCTGATGGGGTTTATACAAATGTTTTCGAAAGATAATAAAAATAAATTACATCATTCTGGTGGGGTGTTTATTCCTTGCTTTTGAAGTGTCCCCATGTGCTTCCCTTTTGCTTTCTCTTTTCCACCGCACCACTCTCTTTGTCTCTGTCTGTATCTCTGCGCTGCTGTCATACATGTGCTCAGTCAAATCCCAATCTCAGATTTTATTCTCTTATCTTTCCACTGCGTCTTATTTTTTGCTTTTGCTTTTGGAGACTTGCTTTACTTCTTTTTACTTTCTGCTTTGCTCTTTTCTTTCTTTTAGAAAATGGTAGACAATAATAACATATGCCCAAAAGATGAGGTGACTATTCATGCTTGAGGATGAGGTGAGGACTCCGTCTCGCTGTTGTTGGTTGAACTGGATGGCTTGCTGCTGCTGGTTGTAGACACATATAGTCTACATTTCCTTCGTAAATTAAAGTTCCTTATTCGAACTTAGCAGGAGAGATGAGTCTTTCAAATGAGCAAGTGACAGATGGAGTTAGAGATGTTACAACAAAATAGTTAACAGTGGCAGTTTCTTTCTTTGGCCAGGATCACGAGTGTTGTTCCCTTTCTCCCAGTACTGCTGTGTATATTCACCGACCTTCTCTGTAAAGTTACATGTTTGCATTGCCTGAGAAATTGTTGCACTAGGAAGGAAAATGCCATCTTTATCGCCTGCAGCCTGAAATTGGCAATGTAAGGATCTTGCTGCTGCAGCACCACCAAATTGATTGTCCAAAAGTAAATGGTTGGGCCCTGCTACACGGTGCAGGATTGCCCGTGCCTTATTAGGTGACACTCCATCATATACATTCACCTTGCCGCGGTAGAAAATTGTCATTTTACTAACTAATGCATCAGTTGTACAATGATTTCTTGATTTTCAGGATCGGCGGGAAACTGAGGTGGTGTTGGTGTTAGGCGGTAAGACCCTCGATAGCACACGGGGGACCACAAAGCTCTTCTTCCGCTGTCAACAGCCGTCACTTGCAGGAGGATGTTGTCGACGACGAGAACACGAGTTTCTTCCGAAGTCAACTGGGGCGAGAGGTCGAGCCTCTCTGATCTCTTCTGCCATGAGACGACGCCGCACCGTGAAACATGATAAGCTACTGGTGCAATAGTAGGATCGAGAGCTGAGGAGATAAAGATTTGATTCCCTGGTTTCCTGAATACCAACCCAAAACCCAAAAAGCAAAGACCTTTATCTTCCCTGTGGGCTTGTGAAGAGTGTTTGAGATTTGAATCTTTTCTGTTTCTGGGTTTTTTGTGATTTTGTAGATTCACCCACAGAAAGGTTATGGATAGCAGGCACGCAAACCTGTAAAAGCAAGGAATAAATACCCCACCAGAATGATGTGATTTATTTTTCTTAACAGATGTATGATGTAATTTATTTTTCCTATTTTTTCGGAAACATCTGTATAAACCCCATCAGATGGTTAAAAAAAAGGGCAAAGCCCAAAATAAATGGGCTGGCATGTTGTGGAGGGCGAAGGCCCATAAGCCCAAAATAGCACCAACCAGGTGACCAAAAGTACGCCCAGTACTCCAAAATTATTCGGCAACCCGCCGCTATTACCACCAACCAGGTGATGAAATGTACAACCCATACTCTAATTTGGCAACTAGCCATTCATGCCACTAACCAGGTGATCAAAAGTACGCCCAGTACTTCATATTATACATGAGCATTACTCATAACAATCATACATAAACATTCATGTGTATCACTCATATCAATCATACATAAACATTCATGTGCATCACTCATGTCAACATTCATGAGCATCACTCATGTTAACATCCATGAGCATCACTCATGTCAATCAAACATTCATGAGCATCACTCATGTCAATCAAACGTTCATGAGCATCACTCATGTCAATCAGCTTCAAAAGCTTCATTTACAAAAGCTCTAGCTTCAAAAGCTTCATTTACAGAGCTACAGCTTCAAAAGCTTCATTTACAAAAGCTCTAGCTTCAAAAGCTTCATTTACAGAACTCCAGCTTCAAAGCTTCACTTACAAAGCTTTAGTGCAGGGTATACAAATACCACCTCCGAACAACTGCCACTTCGGCCCATACATGAATTCAATTTGAAGTCTCTAGCTAATAGACTTTATTGACCGAAGACTTGGGGGACTACACTATACACCATATATTGGGCCTCAACTGGGCCTCATAAAAAATACTTGGGGGACTTAGCCTATTATCTATGTATTGAAGAGCAAGCCCTTATTCTATAAAAGGGACTCCCTCACTTTCATTAGAGAGCACTCATGAAAAATACTTGGGGGACTTAGCCCATCACTTATGTATTGAGGAGCGAGCCCTTATTCTATAAAAGGGACTCCCTCACCTTCATTAGAGAGCAACGCCGCCAGCTGAGTAACCGCCTCGCCGCGAGCATCATTCCTAGCCCATATTTATGTATTGAGGAGCGAGCCCTTATTCTATACAAGGGACTCCCTCACCTTCAAGTGCCACAAGCCCAGCTAACCAAGGCAATATAAACCATAAGCCGAGCAGCCTCGCAACATGTGCTACTTATAGTTGAGCATCATTTCACTTTGAGCACCGCCTTATATCGAGCGTCAGTTCAAGACAACATCTAGTTACTTCGGCCCACTCATGGACTGAATTTCAAGTCTCTAGCCAAAAGACTCTATTGACTGAAGACTTGGGGGATTACTGTTTATACCATATTTAGGGCCTCGTATTTAGATCTTGTACAAATACTCAAGTGATTTAAATGTAATTATGTGATAAAGGAATGGGCAAATATGTAATAAGTGAGGAGTCCTTATTCTATAAAATGACCCCTCACCCTCACAATTGGGAGATGCCATTTTCCTAGGCCAACAGAGACCTCACTCTCTCCCTCAGAGGCTCTGAATCTCTCTCCCTCACCTCTCAGATAAATACAATACAATTAGTGTGGACGTAGCCCAAACATTGGGGTGAACCACGATACATCTTGTGTTATTTACATTACATGCAGATTCACGGTCAGATTTACGTTGTTCCAAGACCTCCGGTTTTGTGCATCAACAATATGTTTAGGTACGGACATTTCAGTACATTAGTTTAGTATCATATATTTAGATACGAAATTTTTCAGTACACTTATATTTTTGCATATTTTCTTATGTGCTACTAATTCACTACAACATATTTAGGAACGGACATTTCGGTACACTAATCTAGCAAAATATATTATGATACGGATGTTTAGGTACACTAATTTGAGGAAGTAAAATAAATATAATGAATTAAAATGTGTATAATAATAAATAATTTTAATTTTAATGTAATGACATTAAATAAGATACCTATTAAAACAAAAATATAATATAAATTTGAATTAAGTACTCATTAGAGGACTAAAATCAATATCCAATCTAACACTAAGTTGTTATTGAATTTTAATCTTCTTCAAGGATTAAAGTTCAAAAATCCCTAAAATTAATTGGTTATAAGGAGAGACCAATGTCTTATTAGCCCTTGCAAGCTTTGTTCCATTTTGATTCGTAGCAAGCCCCTCATCAAAACTTCCTGGATTAAAGCTTTTATACGAGTAAAAAACATCAGAGCTGAACCTGATACATAATAAACTTTAATCCTTGAAAAGATGCATGCTCATGCCAAAAAGAAATGCAATCTGTGGTAATAATTATTGTTTGAGCAAGTTCCAGAGGGCAATTAGAGCAGAAGCAGAGACCAGTTTTGACAAGGCTGCAGTTATAGAAGGAATCGTCTGACGGCCGCCTGAAATAAGAATCAAATTGCTCCGAAAAAAGGGAAACTATTTCCAAAGGCTGCAAATTTTATACTTCATTCTTCACTTTCTCGTAACCAAACACTACTCTCCCTGAATCTGCATGTGCCCTCCACCACACCAACAAACACCCTCGCATAACTAATAAATATATTAAAGACAGTTTTAACGAAACAGTTCCAGTACTCTTCACTTTTGACGAAAATGATATTTTTACTCTAAAAAATTACTCCTAGTACTATTCACTTGCAACACATTTTTATCATTTTGATTAAAACTCAAAGTTTTCAAGCTATTTTCATTAGTTTTCCTTATATTAAAAGACAAATCTTAAGCAAATTTTTTACAAACAAGACTTACTTTGCTCAATTCTCTCACTCAATTTCAATTAATTTTCAGATACTCCTATAAGATCTTTATATTAAAATTGTTACAATCGCTAATTATTGTTACAGTTCTAATAAAATAAGCAGGATACTAAAGAAAAAAATGTGCATAATCATTTTCCTATATAAACCGGCCGAGAATTACGCACCAAACTAAGTTTGAAAAATAATCCAACACCCCAGTATCAGGCATCCAATTAAGCAGAGCCCCTTATAATTTATGGCAATTATAATGTGATGATAACATCAAGGACCACTAACAAGTAACAAACGTTTAATTTAATTTCTGGTCCTTAATTGTTACACCCTCATATCCTTTACACCTTAAAACACGCATACAGACAGAGAAGAAAGAGAAGGATTAGCTATTAGCTACTGATGATAAAGCCGTAGTAAATATCACAACCCACACAAACATAATCAAAAATAAAAACCAAATTAAAGAAAAATAAAACCCAGCTAAGCTAAGACAAAGAAGAAATCTCCTTAGATAAAAAGACTTAATGATATGCACCATTGGTTGTTGGAAGATCTGACGACCACGCGGTAAACGCCGGGTTCCAGTAACCCATTTCGCCACCGCCAACCACCGGAGCCGAATCCAAAATCGATGAGGTGGAAGATGAAGACAATGATGAGGAGGATGAAGACATCACCACATTATTTAGATGGTCGGAATAATAACTACCTGATTGTGATGTTGTTGATCTTAGCCTCTGAAACAATTCTTGTATTCCAATATTGCTGCTTTGAACTTCATGACCAACAATGAAACCGTTTTGTTGGTGATGGCTTGGAGGTGGCTGATTTTGGTTGTTATTGTTTCTCCAGAAAGAGCTGCACAGACCAAGTGAAGGAGCCTCGCATACTGGATCCAACCCCAGGGTTCGAGCAGTACTCATTGCAGCTGGCTCCGTAGTCATCATGTGGGACCCAATCATATTATTCATGCCTCCCTCTTCCTTCACATTTACAGAATTACAAAGTTGATTAGGGTTAGGGTTTTGATGACTGGATCTTAATAGGGCTAGTATATGAGAATTCTGGGGCGAACCCCACTGTATTGGGCTTGCTTGGACCTCCTGCTCGAACCCCCCACCTAATCCTGACCGGCCAATCTCTGACACGACCGTTTTCAACTTCCCTGCGGCGGTCTTGCCTATGGAAGCCGTTGACACGGTGACACTCTTGTTTTTCCTACACCCGCCGCCAATTGGAACGTTCCGGAGGGCCCCTCCTTTTGTCCAGTAGCGGCGGCAGGTCTTGCAGAAGTGGCGGGGTTGAGTGAGGTTGTAGTTGTTGTAGTAGCAGAACTTGGTGTTGGAAGAATCGCATCTTGGGCATCTCAAGTTCTCCGTATTTGATAAACCTGTCGTGGTTGTTGTGGTGGCGGTGGTAGTTGTTGAGCAAGAAGGGGATGGTGAAGAAGAAAGAGAAGGTGAAGGAGTAGTACCACCATGAAGGGAGAGCGATTTCCTCTCTCCTCCTCCTGCTATGTTATTAAGGCCTGCACCTCCAAACAGTTCTTGGATCATCTTAGTTTTTTGATTTACTCTTCTTTGTGGATCTACAACAATCCAAAACACAAAGAGAAAAGGAAATAAAGATAAAATCTTTTTTGAGTAGTAGTACTTAGTGGAGAGAGAGCTAAAGAGATGAGAAAGTGGTTTTTGTTGTGTATTTTGTATATGTGTGATCTAGCTACTATATATATTATGTGAGAGGATACTGATTTGGAATATAGATATTCAAATAAAATGGCTTACCTTGAGTCTTAAGACTTAAGTTGTACGGGAATTTGTTGGCAAAATATTCTTGGGGTGCAAAAGAATGGAAGGATTGCATTGTGGAGGAAGCTTTACTATATATAGATTTAACATGATCATGTGGAAGAAAGTATATATAACAACTTTAATCTATATAGTAAAACAACATAAAGTGGTATTTAATTTTGGTGGATTTGGAATTCAGTTGTGGGTGGTTTTTGGAAGGAAGCAAATGGTCATCCAACTTATATCCTATGAAAAAATATAATTTTTGGAAGGAAACAAAATTATATTTTTTTTTTTCATAAGGGAATAATTTTTCAGCTAACCGATCATTCTACTTTTGTCCTATTAAAAAAGTATAATGTAGACAGACTGCATTATTTCCCTAATGATTCCAATAACAGGTAGCTGAAGGAATTAAATATGATAAGGAAAATCAAAATCACCTTTTCTTTTGTAATCTCCATGCAGCTCTTACGGCCTTGCCTAACCAACTAAATATGATAAGGAAAATTTAGTCACTCTAGCTAGCTACAAAACTAGTGTGCTAAATTTCTGATTAAAAACTAAGTGAAATGATAAATTGAGCGAAACCCAATTCTGTTTTATCCAAATCCTAGGTGTTTGTTAAGTAAAAAAACTTATGTCTTCTCAATTTTTTAGAAAGTGGGGGGCTTAAATTAGTGCACAAGCGCTTTTGCATTGCATCAATTAGAAACGAATTGCTTGGCAAATGGCACTATAAAATTTACTGGAAGTGGGGAGTACAGAAGAGAATATATAATGATTATAGCAATCAAGTTTTCTAAAAGAATAATCTTTGTTGTGTGTGGAGGGGTCTTTTGTGTTTCCTTCCTGAAAATGCTGTTCGAGAATCATCATCATAAGTTCGAGGAGTGGGCTAATCACTTGGAAGTACGTGTAAAGCCAATGTCCTACAGCAACTACAAAGCCACTGCCCGAAACTTATGGCTTCAATTTTGCCTTCCCCACACACCCACATACATTACACAAAAGAGCTAAATAGCAGATAGCCCCAGCTGATGTATATTTGATGGCCAATGTGTTTGGGTTGAACACATTGAGTAACTTTAAACCTAATTCAAGTAATAATTCGAACGTGTGGTTTGTTGTCTGAGATCAAGTACTGCATGAGCACATTTCATTTGCATTTGAAACACTCATCATTGTTTCTTTCCAACAACGCAGTCCATAATCCATGAAATCATTTTGTTGGTAATAATTTGAAAATTACTGTTCGTGAGTGAGTGGACGGTTCTGGATTATTGTTTTATTTATGTGCGGCTCATGGTCAGATGATCTATACGAAATTGTCTTGTGCTAATCACTTACGCGTTGGCAATTGAGTTTAACTTTAATCTTAACATCCAAAGTCTCTAAATATTATTAATTCACGAGTTATAATATGAATTTATTATATTAAGAGGAGGGGGAGATTTAGAAACTATTGCAGTACTTTAATGAATAAATGATTTTCGAATCTGGAATGCATGGATGAAAACTAAACACCTTATCTACTAGGATATCGAACTATATGCATGTTATAATATGAATGTACAAGAAATATTGTCACATAATTACATGATAGTAGTGGTCACTTAGATTGAGTATTGAAAAACTTTCGTGCATGGAGATCATTGCTAGAGATAAATTAGCTGTCTTGACCAGCTACTTAATCAGATCATGAACAAGTTCACATTGGTCATATACGTTAAACTTATTTGAATGTTGATTAGGCGTGCAATTAACACTGTGCCACCTAATTAGCAATTACATCAGCATAAGACAAATTGAAAATTAATCAGGTTGATGTAACCCTTATCGGTTAGCTAGATGCTCATTCAATCACTCTTCAAGTTTATGTGGACCAATTATGATCCAACTCTGTAGCAACAAGCACAGTATAAATGATACATGATTGTGTGAACGAGTTGCCTTCGAAGAACTTGTGGTTTTGAATGCAAATTACTTTGATTGGTGTCAATTAGGATTACTTGAAAATCTGGAAGGAATATAAGAAGTTAATTAAAATGGGGTATGTGGGGTCTACATGTCTCAAATTTCTGGAACCATTTGTCAATCGCCATCTTGATTTGAAGATTGTTGCTATATGAAGATTAAATCTTATCGTTACAAGATAACAAAGTGGCTAATGTGTGATTACTGATTTATATTGGAAATTTCTACTCATAAATAATAATTTTCAATTGAAATTCTACCGTAAATCAAAATCTAATTGATTCCGTGAAGCATGTGAATGGATTAGTTAGCGGGTAGGCCCAAGACAGGTTAATCTAATAAAACCTAATACTAGGTTCATATTAAACTAGATAAGAAGAAAGAGATAATGAATGCTTTCTCTCTGAAGCCTTCAATTTATATATGTATGTGAAACTTCGCAAAGTTCTTCCCATCATATTTCTTTCTGGCCATTCACATTCTATCAACTCACAATAATTTATTGTTAGCCATTGTGATGTTAAACCTACTTCCTCTGCCATAGTATAGATAATATTGTTTGTTCACAAAAAGAAAAAGAAAAAAAAACTCACAATAATTTAATGGGAAAATAGTGATTTTAAACATAACGACACTCAAATTCTACAAAGAGAACATCATATACAATATTGTAAAACCGTAAAAATCCATATTAATGATTGTAGGACCAAAAAATTGAAGATAGCTAGACTTTGTAAAAGGTACGTAATGGAGAGAAATTTTTTAGTATGCACTGTCACATAAAAATTGTACATTGACGTGTCATAATTAGTGTAATGACATGTTTTTTTTTAATTATTAAATAAATACATGCATTAGAACATGAGCTAAATATGTTATCATTCGACATGTAATTTTCAGACTAGAAAAATTAGGGGGTGTGCTATCCACACACCATTTTTTACTTCTCACATACTGTCTTAATTTTCAGCAGTCGGATCAAACGAATTGAAAAAGATTAAATAATAAAAATTAATAAAACAGTAAAAAAAAAATGTGCATGGATATTACACTCTAAAATTAATAGTGCATATATACATGGTAAAGCAAAATGCACTTTACTTGAGCAACAGGCACATCAAAGCCAGAACTGATCGATCAATTTTCATCTTTGACCAAAGCACTACAATCGGGTCAAGTCTCTGAACAACAATGACTACCCATGAAAGGAAGCTGGCTTTGAATTCAAAGGACCTTATTTTTGTTCTTAATTCATGAACACATGCATACATACAAACGGAAATGATATCAATTTAAAGAGACACTAACAACACATTCACACACCATATATATATATAGCATTTTATTGCAGTGACAGAAAGTAATCATATATATGCATTTTGACACAGTTCGATTCTCACCGATCACTCTCTTTCCTAATAACTAATAATTGAACTCTCTAAGATTATCATTTAAAAAAAAATAAAAAAATAAAAACCTTTCACACATATTGCACTTTGCTTTCTGAAGAAAACGAAATGTGAATGAAATAGGAAGCCAAAAATAAATAAATATGGTCTCCTGAAAATGAAAATACATAGAAGTTCCAGGCTCCTTTTCTTCCTTTTATTTTAGGAAAACTAATGAAAATGACTTGAAAACTTTGAGTTTTAATGATAAGGAAAAAATAAAGGGTAAAGTGAATAGTACCAGGATTGACTTTTTAGTGTAAAAATGTAATTTTTCGTTAAAATAAACAATACCGGGTGCTTTTCGTTAAATTTCCCTTTTATTTTTTGGTTGGTAAGTAAGAAATTAAAAAAACAATTATCTGGAAATTATTGAAGAATGGATGGTGATAGTGCAGCTACGTATGTATCTGACCGCGCGTGCCGTCCGGAGCGCGAGACGTAATATTATAGACGAGGAGCAGACCGACATGCTTTTACCAGTGGAGGTCGGGCAGCAGAAGACGACAGAAGACGTCTATGACACAAATGGGGTGGGAATGGGCAGCGCGCGCGGGTTGACGGGCAGTGCGGGCAGGTAATCAAGGTCGCCGTCAATGTTGGTTGTTGGTTGAGTGGGGCAGTCGTCCCTCGATCCTCGGGCCCTCTTTTGCTCTACTATACCTCTGTCTTGCTCAGTCCTTATCAGCTGCTTTTTCTGCGTTCTATTTCTATGCAAATCCATGATTCGTTTCGTGCCGAATCTCCCTCAAAATCTAAACCCATGTTTTTATATTTTATTAGTATAATTAACATAAACACATAACATATCTATCATTTGTTCTAAAATAGCTTGACAGGCTTCATGGTTGGTTGATTTGTCTCGTTCGGTTGTTAGAATTGGTTTGGCTTGAACTATTCATTAGATTCAGTTAAATGTTGGAGAAAATATGAATGTCATTAGACTCATTAGATTCACGATAATCTCTTAATCATTGGAAAAATTAGTATCCGGTCCTTAATTACTAATGTTCTTTGATTGAAACTTTATTAGTTTTCAGATTTTGATTAAGGTCCCTAGTATTAATACAATAATGAATTCACATGTCAGTTACATAATTTTTAAAATAAAAATTAATAATTGATTTAGGATTTTAATACTCACACTTTTATTAAACTCCTAAATAATTTTCAATTCAAAACATTTCCAAAAAAAAAAAAATTAGAATAAGTTTGTACCCCTTAATTTTTTTATAAAAAGGTTTCCTTTTTTAATCTTATATGTATCCATTCATGTAATTTTTAAATTTTTAATCTTAAAATATACCCATTCTTAAATATATCAATTTGTTGTAGTAAAATGTACCCTTTTTTTATATAAAATCTATTCAATATTTTTCTAATTCATTTTTAAACTTATATGGGTACATTCTTTTTCTTGATTTGAGAATGTATCCATGTCAAATTTAATCAAAGAAATTTACTAATATTATTAAGTCTAATATCTATTATTTTTTGTGTGGTTTTGAAGAATGTACCCATATTTTGGTACAATAATTTTTTTGTTAATTTTAATGAATGTACCCATGTTTATATACATACACACACACACAATATATTGGAGAGTATAATTTATATTTTAATAATTTTAATCCACAGATTATGGGTTTTTTTATTTAAAATCTCATTAATACAAACAACTATAAATTTCAATTTTTAATTTAAAAAATATAGTAACATACATAGAAATACATTATCACATTAATTTCAGGGACTTCGATCAAAAATTGAAAACCAACAAGATTTCAGT